CAGGGCAGGGGGCAGGGCAGGGGGCAGGGCAGGGGGCAGGGCAGGGGTAGGGCAGGGCGCAGCGCAGCGCAGCGCAGCGCAGGGCAGGGAAGGGAAGGGAAGGGAACTGAACTTACATCTTAGTGAGGCAGTTGGAGGGATTCTTGGCTGCCTAGGCGGCCACGCGTCACTTGCCTATGGTTAGAGATGTGGTTTGACGTGTTTAGTCCCGATCATCGGAGTCCACATGTCTCAAACTTACACAAACTTTGTCAAACACATATGTTAAAACAAGGTGCTCCCAACGGGTCACCAATGGACAACCCTACCCTACTACTTATTGGAAGTGCTGGGGAAGTGCAAATTCAATCTATATAACGCCCTTGCGTTTGTGCTCATGAGTTGCCCAAAGACTACATGGCTGGCCCAACTACATGGCTGGCAAACATGCGAATAATGGTGAAACTGCCGCGCAACGTTGAGAGTGATATGACATCTGACACTATATAGATGTCTTCATTTTCAATTCAAGAAAAGCAGAACCGTCCCCTCATGACAGGAACATCATTCGACCCGTGACTAGTGACTAATGACACTCAAAGTGAAACACCACCTCAAATATCAACTGCACTGGGTTTGCTACAACCAAATGATTTCCACAACAACAGCTCGGAAAACCAAGGAGTTGATTTCCTCAATCCGTGAATTCCGCCGCGCTCCGCGGATCCTTCTGGAAGGGTGACCAGGCAGGTCTGCGCATTTGAAGGCTCCTCACAGGTCTCTCTGCGGTCCAGGTCTTTGCAGATCAGAAAGCACTCCTGGTTTTGAGTATTTCTTGGGGGTCAGGGGTGTCCAGCTGTGTCCAGCTCATCCACTGGTCGATCGATCTCGTCGATCTCGGCCGATCGTTCCGTCGACGTCGGCGGTTCTGATTCTGGGGTCATTGGGGTGATGGTTCTTCGGTTCACACGATCGGTCGAGGTTGCGACAAAGGCTTCTTGAGGCTGCTCTAAAAGTGATTTGTTGTTTGCGAAGAAGGGGCGCAGCCCCCCCAAAACGCTTATTGAGATGGGGCCCCAACCACTAAACCTCCTAACTTAGGGATTGTTGCCATCTCTAGTCTCAATCCACTATACTGGCTATAGTCTAGTGGTAGAAACTATGCTGGGTATTATTTATCTTCAGACTATATTAATATCTCTAGGGATCCAAGTACCTTCTCAGAAGGTGATTGGAGACACTGTTATGTAGGTTTGGAGGGCCCAAGTACCATGTGAGAAGGTACTTGGATCCCTAAGGTAATATCTCTAGACTCTAGTCTCGATCCGCTCCTTCGACCGCTGTTCTCCCCATCCGCGCCTCTGGAGCAGCTGAACCTCCGCCGCGCCCGCGGAGTCATCGTCCTCGAGGTCCTAAGCTGAAGCGAAGGGACCGAAGCGACAGCCGCTGAGCCGAACCATGGGGTTTGGCACATGTGACCCAGAGACACACCACAAAATAAAACGAAAAACCGCCACTTGAGGCCAGAGGGGGTGAACGAAAGCTAGCCGGGCCGGGTCGTCTGCTGCTGCTGCTGCTGCTGGCGCTGGGTGGTCTGCTGCTGCTGCTGCGGCGGTGGGTGCTCTGCTGCTGCTGCTGCGGCGCTGGTTGGTATGCTGCTGCTGCTGCTGCCGCTGCTGCGCTGGGTGCTCTGCTGGCGCCGGGTCGTCTGCTGCTGCTGCTGCTGCTGCTGGCGCTGGGTGGTCTGCTGCTGCTGCTGCTGCTCTGGGTCTGCTGCTTCTGCTGCTGCTCCTCCTTTGTGGTTTGCTGCAGCTGCTTGGTGGTAGACTGCAGATGCTTGGTGTGCTGCAGCTGCTTGGTGGTCCCGCTCACCGCGCGCAGGGGGGAGTCGAACCCCGGGGGGGGGGTCCATAAGATTGATTTAATCAATTATTTGAGGTTTCTGAGGTGCGTCCACCCCGTCACTTAACTTGCTAAAGCAAGAGCAACTCCAGCTAGCTAAGGCTAGCTTTCGTGAAAACGCACAGATATTGGCGCCACCCACCCTGAAGGTGTTTGGAAAGATTGTTTTTTTTTCAGCACCTGGCTCGAAAGAAGTTGTATAAAGAGAGTGAGTCTCTAAGAACAAGCGCTGGGAAGTGCAAGAGTGCGGACAGCAACGCCTAAAAGCACAGCCGGTGATTTTTTTATACGTTCTTCAAGGTCAACGGGCACAATAGCCCAAAGCAAGACAAAGCAGGATGTCTGCTCTCGAAGGGTTCGAAAGGAGATCTCGAAAACGACAATTCTTCCACCTCGTTGGAGAAATGGGAAACGGTTCTTTACCGATCTGATCTCATTATGTTGGACACATCTTACCCATCTTATCCAACTCATTTATAAGGGCCTTAGGGCCGCCCATTTCAATCAATTCATAGTGGAAATGGGAATGGGGATTCTGATCTCCAAAGAAGCTGGACATCAACTGACTCTCCCCCTGAAGTGCCGCCATTCTCCGGGTCCTGGCAAACGTCAGAGCCCACCTGACAGATCCAGTGCCCGACCGGCCTTGAACAACGGAAGAAGTCTCTAGCTTAGCTTGATTGAGCCCGAAAGAACTTACACTCCCAAAAACTGTCATGGACCCGGGTCGAATGGGACCCTGAAAGATTCTGTTTCTCTCTGTTTTTCTAGGGTCCATGTGAGTTTTCCACGGGGTACAGTAGACGTAAGAGATGTTTGGAGAGGATTTCCCTTTTCAATCCATATTTCCAACAAAAGAGGATGTCGTACCATTTTGTATCCCATCTGTATCGACCAGTCGTGGCTTTATGTTTTTTTGGCCAAGAAGAACAAACAACACCTTCTGAAGGGCCCATCGTCCTCCGTTTCAGGACCGGCACTCCGCAGGACCGGGTTGACCGGTGGATTCGAAGGACCGTCGTCAGGTCGGTCATCGAAGAACCCTTCTTAAGGCAGCAAAACATCTAAAGCAAACAGCTGAGCGGGCGTCTCAAGGAGCTTGGAATTGGGGGTGCCTTCCAAAAAGAAGCCCAAAAAGCCGTGATCAGTGAAAGTTAGGCAATCAGTGAAAGATCTATAATCCCCTCCATCTTCTGTGGCCAAGCACATGCCGTTGTGGAGATGAACAATGCACAAGCTATCAAAGAAACCTTCTTGTGCTTAATTCAGGACGTTGGATCTCACCTAACGTGTTGGCCAGACCGGGCCATCACCAGGATCAGACCAAGTCCGCTGGCCCTACGGCGTTCCCAAGCGCTTCAGTCCAGGCAGGTTCTGATTTGGTTCACCAGAACATCCAGGCAAACCACTAGTTCGCTGGGACCAGTGGTTCCAGTTCGACTCAAACCATAGACCGAACGAATCCCTGGTTCCTTATATAGTGGTAGCTGGGATGCACTGGGTCTTGATTCATACCCCCGTGATTGGGATTGTGAAACCTCTGAGAAAAAGACTCTGAATACCTCTGCATCGCTGGGGAGTGTGATTCACCAACGAATCTCGACACGCCAGGTTATGTAGAACGTACCTGGACCCTCCAAAGTAGAACATGGGACATGAACCACGTTTAAAACAGCAACAGGCACCATCTTGTATCCATGTTCGGTACTTAGGGTCCAGGTGGATACATAGAACCAGTGGGTTCAGAGCAAAAAACATGTAGGGGTGTCAGTGCCATCTAATTACTCTGAAACCCCATGTAACAGCATGTATCTACTGAATGTATTCTGAAATTATAGTGCCTCTCTCCATCTTGGAGGCCCAACCCCGGTCGCCTGGGCTGCCAACACACACAGCGACACCTGCAGGCGAAACCCACAGGGGGCGAGAAACGGCACTGGGCGGTGAACAAAAAACCCCGCTCATGTGGGTGTTTGCCAGCTTTTTGGGCTCTTAAAAGGATTGGTTGCAAGTTGGTCCTTGCCTTTTGTTTTCTATTTGGGGTGTGCTTGCAGAGCTTCCGTGTGGCGCCTTCTGAAGTAGCGTCACTATGCCCGCCATGGCGAAAGAGCGCAGGTGCGAAGCGCAGGCGCTTCAACGCGTGTTGGGTGCTGGCGACCAGCTGCCACTTGTGGCACTTGTGGCTTGCGAATTGAGCAAATCCTTGATCATCCCTAACAAGGGAGCTCCAAAGCCAAGCCATCCATCCTCTGCTTCTGTGCAGCAAATGATCAGTCAAGAGTACATATGCAGCACTGAAACTGAATCCTATGCGCTGGAGGATCTTCTATGTGTCTAGGTTAGGCTGGGTCAATCAATTTCTGATGTAGGAACACTGCCAAGGAAACAAGTGGGTGAAACGGCCGCCGGTAGGGTTTCCGGGGCAGCAAGTAGATTTCAATGGACAGCCAAACGTGGCTGCGGGCGAGTGCGCATCCTGAACAATCAGCCTGCTCCACGGTCACAATCTGAAAGGTCAGGAAGCGGGCAAAATCCGGTTGTGTGGTCAATGCTTCAAAGTACTCCAGGGGTCTCCAGCGGTCATTATGGCTAGCTTCCGTCTGCGCCACCGACTCTACCAAAGGAGACCAAAAAGGGATCCGACTTAGTGAGAAGGTTCCTCTCTTTGCTCTGCACCCACTAGATTCATTAGATGGACAATACATGAGTTTTGGCCAGACACACATGAGTGACTTTGACTAAAAGCTGTGAAAAGTTCAGCTTGATTTAAAAGACTGTTTAATTGACCTGAAAAATAACATCTGGAAACATTAAGCAATTAAGTTCTGAAGCTCTATGACACCTCCCCCTTCAACCCACACTGCACCGACGGTCTCGCAACTGGAGCACCTCGGAGATAGAGCCTTCTGCACTGAAGGCATCCTGGTGATGTGTGTCTTTTCCCTGCGACCCCCAGCACAATGTCATACAATGTCTACTTCAATTCTGCAAACATTGACGCATAGAGAAAATACATTATAGTTACTGACTCCAATATCCAGCATCCATGTAAACAAAACACAAGCAAACTAAGGAGATGAATCAAATTCTTAAGTCAAGGAGATATATTCATTGTTAATTAAATGAGGCTGGCTCTTATGCTTACAATAATTAAGACTAAATAAGCATCTTCCAACCAATGGGATGTGGAGTTCTTCAATTCGTGCACCTCAAAACGCCCGATCTGTCCGTGGGATTCTGTTGTCCCAGTCAGTTGGGCTGGTTTTGGGGTCAATATCCTAGACATATTCATTCCAGTCCCATGGAGTGTGTGGGATAGGGATCAAGATCAAATGCCCTGCAGTCAGACGCAGTCCTTCTCTATCTTGGCATCCTCTGCCTCCTCATTCACCGTCTTCAAGTGGACCTCCAGCAAACCACGAGGAAACTTCGTCCTACCATTGACAGTGGACAGAGCACAGCGTGCGTGGCATCTTCTTCACACACGCACACACGTCCCAGTCCAAGGACGAAGTAAAACATCGTAAAACCTGGGTCCCTTGACATCATTCCCTAGGGATCCAGTCGCATCTTCTGAGGTAAGGTGATGTGTTCGACACTGTTATGTAGGTGCCAGGAATGGTTTGGAGGGTGTCGTACCGAACCTGAGAAGGTATATGGATACATAGGCGTTGAGTACTGCTGCATGACCGGACCCAGTGAACGAAGGTCCGCCTTCGCTTTCTTCGGCGCGCTGGCCGACTCCCGCTACCGGTTCCAAAGTGACCCAAAGGGGTTCTATCCACTTCCAGGTTCATCACCTGCGAAAAAGAATGGCAACCCCCCCAAAAAAGATGCAAAAAAGATGCAATACCTGCATGAACAATGGGATATTTCATAATACAATATTCATTGATCTGATCGACTGTCCATGGTTTGTCTGTGACATCCTTCCTCGCCAACTCCTAGGCTCCCGACCTCTGCCTGCACACGGCTGGCCAGGCCTCGCCAAAAGCCACGGCAGCCAGTGTATTGCAATAATATATATATATATATATCGTATATATATAATATGCATTCTATGTACAGATGCATCTGACTATACTATTTAAAATGTTTGCAGGGGTTGGCTAGCTTGTAGTTAAAGGCTTGTAGACAGCAAAAGGTTTGCGCACACAGATTTTGCTGATTAAACACTGCGCGGTAACCATGACCATGCGTGACCATGCAACATTTAGCAGCTAGCACATCATAGGATGCTGAAAAACAACATCACCATAATTGTTGGTGGTTCGGTCGGTTGGTCGGTCGGTCGGTCGGTGGGTCGGTTGGTGGGTTGGTGGGTTGGTCGGTGGGTTGGTTGGTTGGTCGGTTGCTGGGTGGGTTGGTTGGTTGCTTCTAGCACCCCTGCCATGGCGCTTGCTTCACACCCCACCTCGGAGGGCGCCTGACTCACGAGCGGCACGGCCTGGTGCCGAGGAGTGGAGCACCGTCTCCCTCGACCGGGGAGGGCGACATGGTCAGACCCATACGCGAAGCTTTTTGGGGGTCAAGCGATCCCACCAATCAGTAGCTCAGGGAATTTGGCAATATCAAATAGATATCAGTAATAGATAGCAATAGCCACATCGGATCGTGGCTAAGCCATACATTAGACGCGCATCTGATCAGAAGGACAAGCCAAGGTGGAGAACATGTGCGAGAACACACACACAAACACACTGCGAGAACTGTACAAGTATTTATCACAAAAAATATCCAACCATAAACTTCACCTAGAGCCCCAAATTGGTGCAAGCACAACAACACCTGTATCAATCTGGAAGCGCATGAATGTGGCTTCACTTCAAGCATGTTCAACCACCGCCACCGTTCTTGCCTAGCGGAGGAGGGCGAGGCAAATTGCTTCTGGCCTGGCTACGGAAGGCACGATCCGCGTGCCATCAACGCCATTGGCCGGGTCTCCGGACATGGTCTCAGTTGAGCCTCACCAGAATCACTCCAGTTCACTTCGTCCACCCGAGATCGTCTGTCCTTCCAAGACGGTTTTAGAGGTTCGGTGGCGCAATCCCCCCAGTTAGGTCGTTTAGTACTGGCCCCCCATCCAAAAGATTCTTAAAAAAGAACAAACAAACAAACATCTTGGGGGTTGTCATGTTTGTCCATCTTCTTTGGAACCACAGAGTCATGTTTGTCTTTTTGGTGTGCCCTTCAACACTGAAGCTCCCTTCATCCGGGACGGCACCGGACCAGTGGGATCCACACACGAGGACTCGACGACGGGTGACCCGGTGCCAGGGTTCATGTGGACTTCTTGAGAAACGCACCTATGGACTTCATGAGGAGGTGAGGCAACAAACAATGCCCAATCCCCACATGACGTGTGCAGCTCATGACAGATGGCAAGGTTTTTATGTTTTTGTTCATCAAGCGGGTCTACATGTGTCCACAGGCAGCGGGTCCGGGCCCCCCGAGCCGTCGCACGTTGGCGAGCCAATGCCTGTGGCCGTTGGTAACGGAAGATCGCCGCAGGTCGGGTGGTTGGGACGCACCGTGGGAAGCACGAAATGCAAAGTGAGGGCCCTCTGACGGACCTCCAGGACCTCCAGGACATCTGCGGTTTCATCCAGTGGATCCGAGACCGGGGACGGTATGACCCCCAAATGAACACAGGGTGGGCCCTCACACCTCATCAGCAGAAGAGACACACCTGCTATCAAGTGCAGTGTCCGACCGCAGCACCGTCCCAATTCAACGAAGCTTCCCACACAAAGATTGCTTCCCACTCCAAGAAAGGGCTTGGATATTTGCTTAGGGAGCCGGAAAACGAAAACATAGAACATACTCCCCAGAAAGGATTCACCCATGAGGAAGATATCATCGATCTTAAGCAAACCCAGGAGGGGGGAACCAATGAGAGCTGAAAGCAAAGTAAGCCAACGCAACTGGTTGAATCGAGTCTCTCGTCGCGAAACGAAACACCCCAAAACCGCTTCTTTTGGGGTGCCAACTCGACCGCCTCCATGGCCCACCGGAGGACCAGCGCCGCACGGTCCGAACGGCACCTGCTCTTGCCGCTGGCAACGTTCGCGGAGTGCTCCCAGCATCGCCTTGAGGCGCCGTCCGGTGTGAGGCGAGACTGATCAGACTAGGGGGTGGTGGATGTTGGGGGTTTCCACTGTGCTAGGATTTGACACCCTAGGGTGTTTGATTCTGGAAGGGATTTAGTTACAGGTATAGGTAAATCATATGGCATATGGTAAATCTGGGTCCACATTTTGATGTGCCAACAAGGAGTGTCTGGGTCTGGGAACATCTTGGACTGGAAGATGTGTTTTTCACTGTTCCCTCGGAACGAGCCGAAAGCTGTGAGCGAACACAGCGGCTTCTTTTCATTCGTTTCCATGGACGACTGTACGGTCTCTACATGGGCTTGTGCCTGTCTCATTCCATCTGCACCTGGCGTGCCCGTCTCACTTCCCAGTCTTTCGACTTGCACTTGCTTCGGAACTCAAGCAGCCAAGGGCCATAATTAGTATCATAGGAAGGGTCACCAAATCTTCTCCAACATCTCTGGAATTCTGCACTTCACAGTTGACCCTTCCCCTTGGAATGGCCCTCTCCACTGCTTTTGGAAACTCAACTTTGCTGCTCGAGCTCTTTCCGCAAGCGTCCGACGGCGGGATCACTGGAAGCCATCAGGTCGAGCTCCTTGCGGGCCTGAGGGCTGGGGCTTTCAGGAGCAAAGGAGAATGACAAAATCGATTCGGTATATCATATCCCATTCATGTAGACTCTTAAGTGTATAAATCCCCTAAGACCTCTTACAAATGGGGTGGGTTATATGATGGTTATAAAAAGGAGGTTAGGTTGACTGGGACACACCATGACACACCCTACAAACCAAGCAGTTGACCTATCTGGTCTCCCCGCATCTTTAACATCTGTGTGGGGGTGGGTGGTAGTATGTGGGGTGGAGAATTAATGTGCAAAGCAGCAGGATGAGGATGGTTAGCAACCCCAACTTGAAACCTCTTTCCCATTCCAAACCCACTATAGTCAATATAGGCTGAAAAACCCAGGCCTCCTCCTTCCTCTGGAGCCGCAGCAGCGCCGTGGCGCGCCGGTAGTGTGCCTTGTTGTCGGCCGGACTCGCCTGTAAGGCCTCGTCGGCGCTGCGGAGGGCGCCGTCGAAGTCGCCCGCCGCGAGCTGCGCGGCGGAGAGGTTCTTCCAAAGGTCGCACACCAAGCAGGACCTCAAAAGAGCTTCTCAGATAGTGGTGAGAAAGGAGACTTTAAGAGAGTGGCAAGTGGTGACCCGTGAATTCGGGTGCTGGTAGAAGTCGAATGACTGTGTCTTGGCCGTGAAGTAAAAGGAAGTTCCCTCTCAGCTACTCTTAAGACTCGCTTTATGATCCTTGACTCTCAGGGGAATGATTAACTGACTGGTGCTTTGTCTTTCGTGGATGTCTTCTTTTTTTGGGGTCGCTGGACCCGAAGGAATCGATTATGGGGGCGAAACTTCTCCCATCCCCCTACCAAGCACCAGCTGGAGAAGGACGACTCTTCTACGTCGGCCTAGGGGGGGTTCGTAACCGTCGACTGATGCTTCATGTATTCCGAATGAATGATGTGCTTTTCAACCTATCCAACTGCAGGCATTGTGCTGGTTTGTATTTTGGTGTTTCTGTGGCCTCACCCAGTCTGGCAGTGTGGCACCAAAACTAGGTCACAATGAACACCAAACCTTCTTTGGATCAAGGATGGGTCTCATATGAATCATGGCATGTATAAAGAAGTGGCAACTGGAATATGCCCATATCAATCCATATCATATCAAGCTAAAAAAGCTCGCTCTCCATTCTTGCTGCACTGTCAATAGCATAATATTAGCGAACAAATTGGACCAGGAGAAAAAACTGTTCGACCGACTCGTCGTTGGCCTTCTACATTCCAAGAGGCTGCTTGTCAGCCAATGAGGAACTCATCAACACTGAGGCTTGCTGTGCAAGTTGCAAGGTCTCAAGTCCCTCTTGATACTTGCCTTGGACTTGCGTAAGACACCTGGATAACGCGTAAAGTTTTTCAAGTACTTTCACGCACTTTCTAAAGATTGCCTTTATAAAGAGATGCGCCGAGGACAAACACACACATGAAAACACATCTCCCATTAGCAACACCAGGTTGCTTATTGCCTCCTGTGCTTGGCCCGACTTCAGCAACTCGTTCCCCTCCGTCTTGAGACCGGATGCATCCTTGAAGTTCTGTGCAATGATCTTTTTCAAGCCTCCCATGTTCCGTTCGATATCTTGATCTAGGTCATACTCCTCCCGATCCTTCGTGTAGCCCTCGCAATTGAGCATGGCAGAACCTTGTCCGGCCGAAAGCCGCATGGTCTTCCCCTCTTCGGTGGTGTCTTCATTGTCTAGTTCCAAAAGCGCGGCATCAGCATCAAAGTTCTTCCACTTGGAATAGTTCTGTTCTAGACGACCACCCCCAGACGTGACCACAGATGGTCTTTCCTGCACAATCTCCACAGGAGAAGGCATGGCTAGCGCAGAGGCAGGACTCGGCACTTCGGCTAAATCCAGAGTGTCACCCGTGGGTGGCTTTGGGGTGTCTCCTTTCGTAGCTCCTTTAGGCTTCATTTTTTTGCAGGACTTGGCCATTCGTACTGCCTCTCTCCTCCAGTGAGCTTGAATCTGCTTCACCTCCTCAGCAGGCCCACTCAATGCATTGAGGTCCATACCCGAGGAATCCCAACATCTGTCCATGCCACACTCATCATCATCCAAGTCATCCAAATCCTCCTCAAAGTCTTCCCACTTCTGATAATCAGCAGATAACTTGTGACCCGTCGTCTTTCCCGCCTCAGCCATGGCCATGGGTGCCATCGCTTCATCCGTCTCGACCTCGGTCTCGAGCTCCGAGCTCACGATCTCGGCCTGACCCACCTCAACGTCCGAGACCTCAAGACTGCCAGGGCCACCGGAAGAATCTGAGAATGTCTCCCCAAACGCCACGAACCACCCATCTTCTTCCCCTTCGACTTCCAAGACAATTTTCTAAATAATAACAGGTTGACCTGGTGTTTGTAGTGTAAATCCTTAGCTGATTCGGCAAAGCCTATTAAATTAATGGTGGTTGGAAGCCTAGGGTTCTTGCTAAAGATGAACCTTTGGTGGCTTCCACACCCAAGAACCGACCACGTTTCACGTAACCTTGTCGCTGGTCACCTAATTCATCGTCTATTTCGTCGCCGCGCTGGCTCAGGAGCTCACAGCAGCTCCTAAGCTCCGCTTGAAGGGTCCCAGAGTTGTTATAAAGCGCTTATGATAAGCTGCTGGAAGCCCGAAGGGGAGCTCTGTAAGAAGCTCCCCACTGTTCCCATTGTTCCAGAATTCTTCCAAAGTTTCTAAACATCTTTTGGGCACTGCCGCAATCAGGGCAATTAGATTTGGGATACTTGGGATGAATGTATCCAGCTGGGTCGCAAGCTCAACAGGTTCATTCTAATTCCGAGTGCCTATTAGAAAGCCCCCCCAATTAAAAAATACACCACGTCCGAAACCCTAAATTCGGCTTATATTTGTTTTTAAATTACCGCCCTTTCAAGCCCAAAACAACATGGTCGATATTCGTTGTTGAAAGCTTTGGTTGTTAGTCTAATGAAGAATCAGTATTCTAATAAAGGTTTTTTGTAGGGGAAAAGGAAGACCCTTCGATCTGGAGGTTTTTTTTTGACTTTTTGATACGAGTTTAGTAATGGATTCTATATACTGATTTTTCTGGATGACGTTTTGGTTTTGAAGCTCTTCCCAGGTGACCCTATTTTGGACCCCACCGATTTCAGGGACCCCCTATTAGAAAAAATGCGACCGAGTTTATCTTTTTAGGGGGGCGCCGTGTTTTTTAATATGTGTGGACAGGATTATTCTACAATATATGGTTTCAGTATGTCAGTGGCATCCACTCAAGCGCACTCCAAGCTAAGGCAAGTGGGCCGGTGCCTCTTCCCCTTGAAGCCTCGCGATGGCCGCGTCCAGCAGCTCCCGTGGCTCTGCGCCTTGGCTCTTGAGCTGCTCCAGCTCCGGTGCCAAAGGAGCACGAGTCACCTGGGCCTGGGCGTCGCTTAGCGTCCGTCCGTCCAAGTAACGACCACCACAGTGGATGGGTTTGCCAGGCCTTGGGAGAAGGATGTTCCGAAGACTGAAGGATGGGGGGTCCAAAGGATTCACCCATTGAGACCCCGCACCATGCCTATCATGCCTATCATGCGGCACGCTCCTTCCGAATCGATTCCGGCCTGGCTGGTCTTGGGCTCAGGTCGGTCCACTTCAGCCAAGGCTTCGTCCACATCGAAGGCATCCCACTTGGAGTAGCCCAGGTCGTGCGTGTGCCGCGCCGCCGAAAGCATCGGTCCGCTTCGGAGTTTCCGTTTCTGCTGTGCTTGAGATGCGTGTGCCCTCTGAGAAGATCCGGATGCTGTTTCTGCAGGTGCTGTTGTTCTCTCTGGAGCTACTGCCTACTAGGGCCTACTCTAACACATGGTTAACTTCTTCTGTGAGCTGTTTTCGAGGTGAGTGCTTTCTGAGATGGATGAACCGGGTGGAGTTGGGTGGGTGAACGAACAACACCATATCATACAGCTCAGAACTTGTCACATACAGTGTCACACACAGCCGAAGAATCACCAAGCAAGATTGAAAACTGGACCCCCTCAACCAACAGCTCCAATTGGAGTTGAAACTTTCCCGCTTGAACTCGGGACAATGACCGGCAAACTCGCTTCGCCAAGAAGAAGGCTTCCGCAGCAAACCTGTCTTCTTTCGCTTTTCAGCCGTGTTTCTCAAGACTTTCTGGGATTTTCTGTGCCAGAAACCGGGGAATATTGAATAACCCATTCGACCCATTACAGTCTACTCCCCGGTTGGAGGGCTATGACCTGGTTTCCGGGACCTTCACCATCCCCCGCATCGCCCAGAAGCTGGGTGCTCCCGGGCTCTTAACTCGATGGCCTCCTTCTGGTGCCGGGCACCTCCAGGAAGCCGTGGTTTTCAGGGATCTGACATCAGCTGAAACGCTCCTCAGACCTTCAAGTGGCTCAACCGCCAGGTACGCATGGCATTGAGCCGAGCCTCACACCAAAACCATCCAAGACCGAGGTTTTAGAGCTGGATGCTGAGGTTGGAGAGGATCCCTGGGTCCGTCAGACTGTTCAAGGACTCTCACCCCTACGGAAGACACCCAAGTGAAGATTCATTCAGGTTGAACCACTGATTTCATCTGTCTTGTGCGGGGGCGGGGTGGACATTCTATGTTGGATACCTGGATATTGTTGATATTTGTTGATTTATATCATATATCGAAGGATTTAGACAATGGCCATGTGTTTGGTTTGTTAGGGTCGATCTTGGATGTCAATTGAGTACCACATGAAGATGCGAGCAATGTCTCCACTTTTGCAGGGGCGTTTCTGCTTTCCTCCGTGTCACCCTCTTCTGCCTTCTTCCAGGGACATCTCCAAACGAGAGATGACCTCAGCTCCAAAGCACACAAAGCCAAAAGTGTTCGATTGGTTTCGGAAGGGGGGGAGCCCCAGTATGGAGCCACAAACTGTACCCCAGGCATACATACATTGCCTGGCAAAAACCCAGAGAAGGGTATGATGGGGCTCCCTCGCTTGGAGGAGAAAAAACATCATGTGGCAATTGGAAAAAGTAGGGTCCCTATTCTTACTCACACGACTAATGCCGACACGGACGATACTTTGACAATACTTTCGGCAAATGCAACCCCTTGGCGCGAAATTCTTAGGAGTCATCTCAAATCACCCTAGGCTATCCTGGACTACCGAAATCCCTACAAACAAGTGTATACTTATGGATATAGCGTGTATCCCATTCCCTGTAACAGTGGATGATGGTTAGTGCAGGCCTCTCCCTAGTGATTTGCTTGTTTACCAACTGTTATAGGTCGTCATGTCGGACACCCCGTGACTCGTCATCCCATCCTGCCCTCCTTCGTTGCACGCGCACGCCCACCGCCCGGGGCGTGGCCATCTGGGCTTCCGCCTCCGCTGCGGCCTCGATGGTGTGGCTCACGTTGGGACTGGGATCTCCTCTCTGGATAGTATATATAATATGCAGATATGTGCAGTATACATGTGGTTTTCTTTGGGAGGCTCGATTGGACATCCACACCCTGAGTCCTGTTTCGACCAAGCAAGCCTAGTTCGTCGGCCGTGGAGACGGAACACAACACGGTCCTTTCCTTTTAAGAGATTCTGCCCTCGGTCCTGCAAGTCCGCCGGTCACTGCAACTCGGCTAGTTCAGGAGTGGCTGAAGCAGATCATCTGAGCATCTGAGATTCCTGACCCTTGAGAACGTTCTACTTCACTGTTGAAAGCTCTAAACAACACACTTGCCGTGTGATGATAAAGCTCGAAAAATCACAGTCCAGATCAACAGGTTGCTCTGGAAAGGTGCATGAGTCTGATTGGAATAGATGGGAAGTCTGGGGAGTTTGACAGAACTGGGACAGCTCGGAGGGAAGACGGCCCGCTGATTTTCTCACCCCATCAGTCTTCCGAATTCCATCGACCGATGCCCGGGCGAGCCGGCCTCACCACGAAGCCGGTAGAGCTGCACCTGGTTTTTCGGGGACACGGGCCAGTCCTCATGTTCCCAACTATGTAGTGGATGGAGACGGAACAATCCCCAAGTTCGGTGGTTTATATGAACCCCAATTATCTAGAACACATGTAGGGGTGCCGGTGCCATCGAACCTCTGACACCACCACATGTCCTTCATGGAAAAGCTGCGGCACAACGACTTTACTGCGCCACCTAAAGACCCACACCGAGGCGATTTGGAAGAAGGCACCCGCCAGGTGGAGAGACCCCTCACCGGACAGGTGGAGAACAAGCGAGAGAACCTGTTGAGTGACACCATGAGACAAGGCTCTCTTTCAACCAGTATCTTGAGGAGGAGGACGAGGAGGAGGAGGAGGGGACAGCTCTGAATAAAATCTAACAATCCTCTCCTGGCAGGTGGGGAACATACACAAAACACAAACCTCCGGTTTTCGCTTTCGCCTGCCTGCTGTTCCCCCGCAGCCAGCTGCGAAGACAACAAAGATGCCTGGGGTGAAATGGCCCCAACGCGCCAAACAAAGAGATTGAACATTGAGGGCACCACTCAGGTCTTGCTCAAAGGCAGCCGCTAAAGGTTGCGGAGTGATATTAAGAAAAGCCATGTCACTGCCAATGCAAGGTACCAGGACCCTCCAAGGGGTGTCCAATGAACTACCCCACGCTACCTATAGGCTTCCCATGGTACCTATAGGTGCCCAATTGTATATGATTCTTACGGCGCTCACAAAGGTCCATGACAACGCTCACAGCGTCAAAGACACCGTCACCCACATGCTCTTTGACTCCTGGATTCTTAGACTCGACCGACCAAGGTGGACATGAGACGTGAGAAAGAGTGATCAAGGCCAAGCTTAGCACCAGGCCCCAAATTCCAAAAATCTCTTTCACTCCAGGCTGGAAAGGCAAACCCTAGGGATCCAAGTACCTTCTCACAAGGTGATTGGAGACACTGTTATGTAGGTGTCAGGAGGGTCCAGTCGTACCTTCTGAGAAGGTACGACTGGATCCCTAGGGAAAGTAAGGCACCCCGACAATCCATGGTAATTGGAGTCATTTAGGGAATCATCACCAAGTGGTGCCGACACAAAGTGGTAACGACCTGAGTCAATTGGCCCGGCGCCGCCTCAGTCTGGTCCTTCGTGGCTTTTTCAGCCACCTGACAGTCGACTCAGGGTGGTTGAAAGGATGCCCAAGCAACCCATCTCAAGAGGGAAAGCAATAACAACACCTGGACCACTCTCTCTTGCTGCAGAGCCTAGCTGTTCCCACAGGTGTCACACAGGGACACTCCGATGGAATAGCTGCACCAACCTAAGGCCAATGCAGGTCGCACCAAAATAGGTGGACCTGTGAGCGTTTCTCTTCTTCACCCCTTCTCAGTGCAAGTCTTAAAAGCGGAGTTTCAGGTGTGCAGCCGGAATCTCGCAACGGCGCCTGTTTTCAGCACACGCAGGAACTTTGAAACGCTTATATAACCATATATAATTCCCTTAAGCTGCAGACTTTGATTTGTCTCAAATCCTATGTTAGTCAATGAAGGAGCCTCGGGCCCCAGTGAAGCTTCCCAGACTGAAGGCTGGGGCAAACTTGCTGGGAGTGCGTGAAAAACGAAACCTGTCCGATGTTGAAGCATGTTGCACAACAAACGTAGTTTAACGTTTAACTGAGGACGTGAGGACGTAACTATTATAGATGTCAATAACATCTATATGGCTGCAAACGATCTCAAAATCTTGATCTAAGTCTACAGCAACTTTTTGTTTATATAAATAACTTTATGTTGTAAATAAATTTCCCAGAAACCCATCTTGGGATCGAGTGATATTCCCTCGACGGGCCCCTGCAAAGCACGTAATCACTTTCAACACATCCCTATCGTGCCACACCATCCAGAAAGTCTTGGATGGATAGTTCTCCTTTCTCACATAATCTCACCTTCTCTACTTCTCATCAAACTCTCCATGTAAGCCAATATGGGCATCCCATGCACCACCACAAAACCACCAAATGTAGGCCATATTGGGATTGCTCGTCTTAGATTTTCGATCCTCCAACGCCTTCAATCTTTCGAAAGGACGTCGACCCAAAGGGAGTCGCCTCCAGGAGCCTCCAGTGCTCTGCCTGCAGCTGAAGATGGCACCACTTCTGCAAAGGAACCAAAATGTCCTGGAGTCTTAAGCCTTTGCATGCCAAAACGTATGCTTACACTATAGTAATTGTTATTATCTTTTATTGCCTCCCAGCGGATTTGGCATTCGTGACCTCCGAACATCTCAAGTTTGCCACCCTGGTCGGCCCTGCACCCGTACATGTCACGTCATCTTAGGCAAAACATCAACCCTAAGACCTATACCCCAAAACCTCACGCCGGAAAGGGAACCTGTTTCAGAATGGCCGACGGCTGGACTTGAACATGGAAGCAAAAAACGCTTAGTTACTGATGTAAGTGGATGATAGTGGATGTATGTGCTGGGGTCTGCTCTCACAGAACAACATTTTACGATGACCCCCCCTCAGATCCTGGATCTGTCTCGTGACCGGATCAGAATAGACCATCATTGTGCTACTGCACCAAGAAGTCTGCCCGGCGACGAAAAGGATCCGAACGAGCCTGAAGCTTCAGCACCTCCACTTCCTCTTTCAAACCTGGCGGGGAGGGTATCACTCCAGGTCTACTTCCAGGTCTTTCATGGTCTTTCACATGGTCTTTCACATGGTCCACCCCGCAGAAGTTGAAGTAAGTGAACCCTGACCCAGGCACCCTAGAGATCTCTAGAGCTCCTGTTGAAACTGAGGCAGTTGGAGCCTGGCTGTGATAAATACCCACCACATTTAGAGTGCAACCTCTTCCTAAGCTTGATTCATCAATAGTCTACATGAAGTCGATGAGGCCCAACGGCTGAACTCATGAGTGACACCAAGTCGACTTGGCGCCACGTCCGCCGCAGCCCACACCTCGCACGGCTGTCTCCTCCCTCAACGCTTGAGTCGCCAATTCGGAGCTCCAGCGTTCCTGTCAGCTCCAACTCCGTGAAGTCCGTCGAGTCCACGAGTCGGGCGAGCACCGCACATGAAGGGAGCTCTCCCTGGAACTCATGAAGGGAGCTTTCAGTGGATGGCACTTGTTTCGTCTTCGGACTCTTCGGATTTGGTCCGAACGAAGGGGGCCATGAGATCCACGGTCTCCCATGTGAGTTCGGAGTGGAAGTGAACTAGTGGCAGTGCTCAGAACACATCTTCCGCTCCCAAAAGATCTCCAACCAAAAGCTATAGGCATAACGGCGTCCAAAAGGCCCGGCTGCACTGGGCCCTGGGCACCTTTGCGAACTCGGAAGTGGAGACCCCCTAGTTTGTAAAGGAAGGTTTGCTTTGAAAGGGGCCATCATTTAGAGCGTATTTGGGGTGGCAAGTCAACTTTGAAGCAAACTGGCTTTGGCTACTGCGGCTACTGGGTTTAGACAGATCCACTCTGCAAAAAGATCCACAACATCAACGCCTTCATCGTGAGGCACACGCACACACACACACACACATATGTCGCGGGAACCACCTTCTAAGATTTCCAACTTGGGCTCTGTTCTAGACGCCTTGCATGACTGGATGATAAGGATAGTGGGCACTCCTCACCTTCCAAAAACCAACCTGCCCGGTCTGCCGCCACCTTTTCGTGGCAGGACGCCCGGACCCCGGATGCAGCTCATCCGCTTCGAAGTCGCCAGATGTGTTCGACCCGTCACGTCCAAGCCTTGCACTGAACCGGACCCACTTGGTCATCTGGGCGGTCGACTCCCTTCGCCGCTTCGCCTCACCATCGTGGAGCTCTTGCTGAGTCGCCTCCTGAGCCACTGCCCGCTGCGCCTGGGTAGCACGGCTGTGTCGACCTACGGAGTAGCACCGGGGGAGACCAGGAAAGGACCAGAAGTGATGCTTTGGAAGGTGGAGCAAATTCGGGAGGAGCCTCAGTGGAACAAAAAGGCTGGGATTGGAGTGTCTACACTATAGACGTGTCAGTGATGGTTTAACCAAAGAACTGTAACATACTGTAACTATATATTATAAAATATTGGGAATTCTGTATATGTCTGGGTTCTGACAAATGGGAGAGTGTTGGTAGATGAAGATCAACATTTCACATGTTTCGGTAGACTTAAGCATCATCACTATCACCAAATAATCATGTGTGGGTGAACTGCCTGGTTGCAGTCTGTGTTTCCCTCTTGATCGGAGAGCAGGAGTACCATCATGGTTGCTGGTCTGCCGACCGTTCTTCACCGGCGCATTCCAGCAAAGTTGGCGAACTACTCCCGCAGTGAAAACTTACAGTAGGTGAGCACTACTCTTCCGTACCCTCAAACGACTGATCCGATGGAATTGTAGATCACTCCCTGGATCTACCAAGTTGAACTCTTCCATCAAAAGTAGAAACTGATGAGAAGAGAATCAGTGAGAAAGCGCAATTCACAAAAGCAAGTGTCGGGTACTGTTCAGCCCATTTCTGTCCCACAGGAATTCAAACACACAGCTTTTGGTTGGGAGCGTTGCAAAACCAAAAACCCTCCGCATCAGGCCACGTCAGACCTTCAACAGCTGGATGTGGCCGGGCCTGCATCTCCTCTTCCAAAACCTGACTCGAAACCGGCCTTTTGGAGTATTAAAATAGGGAGGCCTCCCAGTTCGACCCCGAAAACAAAACTCAAACATATTGCTTTGGCGGTCTCCCTATGCATCGATGCACACACGTTGGAAGGACACATTTGCCAGCCACCAAACGACCAAACGTTCGGTGGTCCAGAGCTTGGGAAGAAATGCTGACAATTGAACACGATGTTGTGATGCCGGTGGAGTTCTATCATGAATAACAATTATATAAATGAATTAAAGAAAACATACAATAAAGCAGATATGCACAATACGACATGTCAACACTCCCTGTCTTGCACATGCATCTCAGTGTTTTTCTGCAAATGTTCCTTGACCATTCTTTGTCACCTTTGTCACGCTGTGCGCGAAAAGAACCTCTCAATAATTACTGGATTGAAAAAGGTTCACCCTCTCTCTCTCTCTGCCTCCCCCTGTCCAATGTCCAACATGCCCCAGGGCTGCCTAAACAGCAATACGGTAATTACTCTGTGTTTAGGCGATTCGATTTCAGAATTTCAGGGATGTCAGGCAAAGGTGTTTTGGAACAATACATGTCTCCCAAGCCTGCCCCTAAACCCAACACCTCTCTGTGCAACATGTTTAACAGGTGCTCCCTTTTGAAAGGCTTGGGCATGACCCTGGTATTCTGAATGGAATCGCGAACCAATATGCGCTTGGAGTACATGCCGTAAGGGCCCAAGTAAAACCCAATAGGACGTTTATTTTTGAGTTCCACAGCCTTCCAAAAGCACGGTCAAACCAAAAACAATCAACCAGTATCAACCAGTCAGCTCTTCATTCAGACTCCCCACCTCGATAGCAGTTGCCTTTGACTGTTTTTCGCTGGCCAAGGCCTGCGAAACGCAGCGCCATTCTGGACGATGCTTTCGGAATGGAACGAACCCAAGCGAGCGCTACGTGTGCGAGCCGAGCGCGAGAACGACGTTCGCTCGATCAGGCGCCACGTGCGTCCAAACCTGGTGAGGTGACCAGAACCGATCCAACGAGGAATGCTCTGTCCTTCGACTTCGGTTGCGCAACAAGGGATTCCTCACTGAGATTCTCACACTCCGACTCACGAAGTGTGAGGCCAAGTTCTGCGGCTTGGTCGAGGACAACATGTTAGGTACGAGCATGGTGGCTAAGTCACATCAATCGGATTATGTCACATCATCCCAATGGTACGGCCTGAAAAGTTGGAAGTCACATCAGGGGCCCGAAAGTCACATCAGAAAATGGACTTCTGCATGGCACAGCCACAAACAGCTACTATGAGGAGTGTTGTATGAACAACAGCAAACATTGCGCACAACAGTAAATCCTGACACATTCTGACTTGTTCGAATGAAATTTGAAGGTAAATCACATTGGCACACCCCGTATTGGACCTTTCCATATACTTTTTGGAAAAACGTAGCCCCTATTGGCACAAGCACAAGAAGATGCTCATGATTTTCCAAGGTAAGATCTAAAACCCAATGGCACGCCGCCAGCAGACTATCTTACTATGTCAACAGTCAAAACTGGTCGCACAGCCGCGCATTGTGAATTGCAGACCCTGAAGTTGCCCCACCATTTCCTGTTCTCCTATGCCTTCTGCGCATCCAAGCGCATGCTTTTCTTCTCTCTGTTTCCGGCTCACTTCTGCGCAGGCTTCGCCATAAACTTGGATTTTCTCTGTTTCCCCCAACAGGTCAACCAGTCTAGGCGCTTCTCGCGGCTGCTAGTGATATCATCCAAGTCAGCCCTGAAATGGTGGGCCAAGGGTGCCTTCGGCACACGTTTCTTGAGTGATTCAATGTCAAAAGCTGCTATACTGGGAATGGTGATTCCACATTTCACCAGATTCCACACTTCACCAGATCACTGTGTGGAAATCCTTCCTCCAAAATCTCAACACAATGGCTGGCATTGTTCTTTTTCTGCGAGACAGCTCTACATTCTAAGCACTGCCACAAGGTTGGAGACGAATCTGGCGGGGGATCTGCTGGCGGAGCTAGTGATGGGCTTTTGAGAGGCCAAGCCAGCTGATGTCTGCAAAGCCGGCTCTTGCTCCTGCACATTCTCAAATTCAACCTCTTGCTTGGATTGACAATGAAAGCAGCATCCTGGCATAGGGCTCTTGTTGTCCGCAGAAATAGCCGAGCCGCACACCATGCAACCTGCACGTTGAGCTTGAGCCTGGTTTTCCGAAACATTGCGCGCAAAGCACGCCTGGCAGTACCCACGCAAGCAGCTGGAATTCTGCGGCAGCACTCGACACACGCTAGCATTGCAAGCGAGCTGGCAGCCGCAGGGCCACCAGCTCTCCTGGCAGCGCCAAACCAGGCGACCGAGACTGCTTTTCATAATGGATCCCATGAAGGGTGAATACGCCGGATAGATCAGCAGGAGGGATGATGACATTGAAGGTAAGGGCGATCATGGTGATGCGGTGATAATGAGCAGCCGGTGGAAGTAAATCAACAGCTCACACATGAGGATTCAACATTCAGCAAGGCTGCCCTGCGACAAAGTCACACAGAATACTGTCTAGACGCCCCATTTAGAGCACCAGGTTGGAGCCTTCACTTCAGCACCACCTTGCTCCAACTGAAATGGATGAGGGCCCTGGCACGAAATTGTATTCCGAAACAAAGTCGACTGCAATTACAACAACATCCAATAGCTTCGCCAGCCAAGACACAGCTGCGTACCAAGCATTCGGTCGGCACTGCAGGAGGATGCTTCGCCACAAGTGGAAACAAAAACGTCACAAAGGCCTAACCTGCAAATATTTGCGTACACGAAAGTCAAGCCGAACTTGCAAGGAACACCGTTGTGTGCAGTCAAGTAGTCTAAACAAATCCCTTGAACAATATTACTGAACATGTTTGCACTGGAACGCAAAATGCGCCAGCATCCCTACTATAGAGCAAATGGCAACGGATCCAAGGCCGTCAGATTCAATCATAGAAAGCTGCAACTTTTACCTAGCGCACAGCCAAAAAAAAAAAAGTCAAAAAACAGGTAGGTTTTACAAAGTCCGAATCTTACAAATCTCAACTCTTGCCTAGCGCACAGCCTCCCGATACGACTTTCCAGGGGTTGATACGACTTAAGCCGACCGCTAGTATAACCCTGCATAAACCGGTTCGGGCGGTTAGGTCACCGAAACTCGTCCGAACGAACCCGGTCCCAACGACCCAAAGCCGCGCCTCGCGGAGCTGTTGCACCAGTGCTCCTGCAGCCATGGATGCCTGGGTCTCCCTGCTCACTCCCAAACGCTCCACGGGATTGACAGACCTGGATGCCTGGATCCTTCAAAAAAGACAACATCTTGGCCGAATGCATGTGGTTCAGTGAAGAAGACAATGTAATCAAAAGACATGGCCGTTTTATGGGTTGCTAACATGTGCTCAAAATATCTCAAATCCGTGCAAGCCTAAAGACTCCGTTTGGACGAAACAACAAAAAACGTGTCTTCTTGGACGAAACAACCAAAAAATTGTCTTTTTGGTTTCCGCCGGTTTCCGCCTGGTCACAACCCCCAAAACTGCATCTTTGGGTCTAAGACATCGTAACGCCATTGTTTTCTTGAAAAGGTCATGATCTGTCATGATCAAGAAGGCAATATTATCATTAGAGTCGAGCTCGTGAGAGCAAGAGTCAGTGCAACGAACATCGTACCAGTGGTAATCGATTTGCGCCGTCTCCAAGGTCCGTCCGTCTATAGGAACCCATTTGACCTCTGTTTTGATACGAAAAGACCATATTTTGGGTGGTTGGTGGTCCAAAATGGAGGCCATTCAGGTTCTAGGTACCTCTTCAAAGAACATGGGAGTGTCTGGGACTGGGAACTCCATTTCAAGACTGGCCATGGGAAGCTCCTCCAACGCCAGTTCCGAGTTCGAGTCCCATGTCATGAGCTTTGACACTGGACCTCCCATCGTCGGCTTCACTCTGGAAACATCTGCCAAGTAGTGCACCTAGCCTAGGACCCTACTGTGGGATGATTTTTCGAGTGAAATTCGGCTCCAAACACTCCATGTATGGAAGTATATACCTACATTGGCCCCAGGTCAACCACCCCAATGGGACTGCAAATATACCAGTCCCATGGATCGTATCTGGGGGCTGGTCTGGCGCACCCTTCTTCACTCACCGATGTGAGCAACTGTGACTAACCAAGCATCATCTTGCATCCACCGAGGCGGCGACGGGTGTGGGCTGCCTCTGGGCATCTGGCCTGGCCCCCATGAAGCATCCATCAAGCCATGGAGAAGAGTGGAGAACATGAAGAAAAGTAAGCAGAAGCACCAACTATACATGATGATCCCCGGGTCCCACCAAGACAAAACACTCACACTTGCCACTTGAATGCATCTGGTTTTTGCTTTAGAGTTCTGCTAAGATGCATTAGCCCCAGGCATGGTACGCCAAAGTCACTCCTTTGCAGCTCACTCCACTTATTAGTCTATTTTCAGATTCTGATTCCATGTACTTTTGGGCTGTGCCAAGTGCAATGGTGTGCATGGAAGTGGAACATGGACCCTTGGAAGACGGGCTTCCTCTACTAATAGGCCGTTTGCCAATGACTGTTGGATGGAGGGTATGATTTGCACCCTTCTATGACCCACCAGCACGTCACCAGTCCTTGTGCATGCTTCTTCTGGCAGGAGTCGTATCCTGCCAATCGGCAGCCATGGTCGTTCGATGGAAGCGCACCCACAATGTCAGCAGCAAAAATCGAAGTTCAAAGCTGAATGTGGGAGGAATGTCTT